CCTCAGCAGCCAGTTCAGCACGGCATCGGCGAGAGTAGCCAGGCGCCCGCGTCTGCTGATCCCCTGGTGCCCAGCCCAGGAGGGACAAACTCACCCTTCTCTCGCTCGCAGGGGTGCCTTGCGGGACGAGGAACTGCCTCCCTGACACAAAAAGCGGGAAAAGAGGTAATCTATCAGAAAAGCCCTCTTCATGCCTAAGCTACCTGAAAAGACTTCTATTAAACCCGTTAGGCTTCAATAGGCACATCTTTCCCGTGGGCATGGCAAGGACAGCAAAGCCCTTCTTCCCCGGCGGCGAACGCTTCAGCAGACAAAGCGGATAAAGCCAAGGCAATCGCCTCGCGCCAGCGGGCTCATGGGTCCAGGCGAAAGGTGATGCTGCGTGGATTCACAGCCTGCCTGGGGGTCTTCTTGTTTCCCCACATTTCACAGTATGGTCAAGGTTGGAAGGGACCTCTGTGGGTCACCCAGTCCAACCCCCTGCCCAAGCAGGGTCACCCAGAGCAGGCTGCACAGCACGGCGTCCAGGCGGGGCTGGAATATCTCCAGAGAAGGAGACTCCACCACCTTCCTGGGCAGCCTGGGCCAGGGCTCTGTCACCCTCAGAGGGAAGAAGTTCTTCCTCGTGTTCTCCAGGCTGAACAAGCCCAGCTCCCTCAGCCTCTCCTCGTAGGAGAGATGCTCCAGTCCCCTCACCATCCTCGTAGCCCTCCGCTGGACTCTCTCCAGTAGCTCCTCATCTTTCTTGAACTGGGGAGCCCAGCACTGGACACAGCACTGCAGATGGGGCCTCACCAGGGCAGAGCAGAGGGGGAGGAGAACCTCCCTTGATCTGCTGGCCATTTCAAAGCCATCCAGGGGTTCTCAGCAACATAGGATTCTTCAAAGCTTGGTCTCAAGTTTCTTCTAAACTACAAATATTGTAAAAGCAAATAATTTCAGGAAAGGTAAAAAAAAAAAAAAAAAAAAAACAACAAAAACCACACCGGGCAAACTTCTCAAAACTGCAAGCTCTTTAAAAAAATCTTCCATCAAAGTGATTAGGAGCTGGTGAAGCACGGGCTTGCGGAGGACAGTGCTCACTGGCAGATCTTCAGGTACCAGATTCGTTTCATTACGTTTTGAACCAAAACTGCACCTCCATGGGGTCAGGTCCTAAAGGGAACCACTTCAACACCACCACACGAGCACAACTGATTTCCACAGCAAGCACAGCATCTCAACTTCACTCCACGGAAGCAGAGGCAGGGAGGTAGCTACCTTCAACAATTCACATGCAAAGGAACACTGCCGTTTTAACAATGTCCCTCGCTGGTTTTCCTCCTGTCTATCTGCAAAACATTTTTAAGGGGGAGGGAATTTTTTTTTCCTGGATTAGAAAATGAAAAAAATTTTATCTCAACCCAAAGAAACGTCGAATTGTGCAACTTTAAACTGTTCTTTTACCGGATCACTGACGAGAGTAAAGTTAAGCTTCAGGTGAGGCAGAGCTGAGGTTGAGAGACCTGTGGAAAGGAGCACAGATGTCATATTACTGGAATGATTTAAAATTGAGTCAGAGGAAAGCACTCTGGAATGAATCTTCAGGGAAATCCTGGAAGGGTTCAGATCAGAAATTCAGGAGCTGGTAGTCCCGAGCCCTCTTAGAAGAGCACGTCTCGTGCGTTCACTCAGAGTTACTCTGTGCTGTTTGCAAACGCTCTACTAACCCACAGCTCAGAATTTCAACCAAGTCATGGTTTTAAGTTGTTCCAGTAATATGACATCTGTGCTCCTTTCCACATTGTTCCAAACGAACATGCAGACACCCAAAACCCGCCTGGATTAATTGGGTTGCACTGAGCTGTAGACCAGCATCACGCCCGATTCCCTGGGTAATGCCAGTGCCCTGTACGTGGCCACTCACACAGACTAATCCGGGCACACCAGAGAGAGGCATCCAGGCAAAGCCGAGGAGGGACAGCATTGCTGGAGCTCTGAAGCAAGGGACCAGGCTGGGTACCAAGGAGAAGGCTGCTCCTACCTGTGAATCCCACATGAGCCAGAGAGGTCTGAGCCCGTGTCCCTCAGAGGGAAGGAACCACGACCCTGCTCTGCGACTGCACCAGGAGGACAACGCTATTTGGGAATGAAACACTAGCTCCAGTATTTGCTGAGAAAATGCTTGGAAACTCTGAACTTCAGGGCATCCCATTCTCCCAGGAGCCAGAACAGGAGCACTGCTGATTCAGCAAAATAAAAGGCATCCCACTCTCAAGCAGGCTCACAAATTTTAAGAGTCTGAACAGCAATTACGGCATTTCTGTAAGTAGGAAATGCAGGCAGAAAACAAGCCTGGAGCACAGCCATGCTGTGCAGTTAAGCTCAGCACAGAGATCCGTGGCAGAATCCAGGCTGTGGTCAGATCAGACTCCCTGCCCTCCTGCAAGGGTAGAGAGAAGGGCACGGCTATTTTCCTAGACAGGAGACTGGAAGAAGGTGAAGAGGAGGACTTGAAACAGGAAAGCTTTAAATATCTAACAGTCTCATCCCTCGTGAACCAAGGCAGAGTTTTAACTGAGACAGACCACCTCCAGCTGGATCGAGCGAAAAGCCCTGTCCCTTGTCACCCGTCAGAACACGGGAACCTCATTCTTCCTCCGGAGCCCGACAGCTGCAGATGCTCCACACAAGCTAGCAGAGTGTATGCCCACAAACAGCCCAACAGCGGCCAACGGCACCATTTTCACCCCTCCTCCCAGCCGAACGGCGTTTTCTGGGGACAAGGAAACAACACAAGGGAAGAAGAATGCCTGGCCTAACAGCGTGCCCAGAACTGCAGCTCCCAGATGCGAAGAGCCTCTGTGTCTGTGTGTACGTACTAAGGACTTCCTCCACTATACAGCTAATCCGATTAACAGCTTTAGGAAACTCTGAAATGTTGTAATTCAAGGGGTCCCATTCATAAAAGGTCTCAGGCTGCCTCTGTACAGAGGTTGCATTCTTCCCACTGGAAATAAAGAAGTGGAGAGCAGGACTTTCTCCCAGGGAAGAATGGGTCCCAATCCCCACCATGCTGAAGCAGACCACCCTCTTGCAATTCACAGGAGTCTCACACAAACCCCGCGAGAGAAGACTCAACCCCTCCTGCCCCCAGCGAGAGCCTCCTCGCAGGGCAGGTGAACATGGAGGTCCCGCTGTGCACGCTCTGCAGAAAGCGTGACGGTCATGGGGGGCTGCCCGTTGACCAGCTTCCAAGGGCTGAAAGCCAGCGGGACGGGGGAAGCCTGCTGGAGGTGAGGACAGGGCCAGTGGGATGAGGGAAGCCTGCTGGAGGTGAGGACAGGCCCAAGCAAGCGACATGACATCACCCTTCACCCAATGCCGCGCATCGCGTGATGCACCGGCTTTGTCTCAGTCGGTAAAAGATGCCAGGAAGAGACTGGTCCAACCACACGACGTGAGCCATGGTTCCAAGAGACCAGCGCTGGCATTACATGATACAGATGTGGGTTGTAAAATTCAGCTCGTTTGCCAGGTGGCACGGGGCTGGCACCAGTGCCAAGTGAAAGCAACGTGCTAGATACGACAACTAAAAAAGCCACCAGAGCAAACTAGTATAGTCATGGAATCATGAAGGTTGGAGAAGACCTCTAAGATCATCAAGCCCAACCGTCACCCCAACCCCACCACGCCTGCTAAACCATGTCCCGAAGTGCCACATCCACAAGGTTTTTGAACCCCTCCAGGGACGGGGACTCCCCCACTGTCCTAGGGCAGCCTGTCCCAATGCCTGACCACTCTTTCAGTAAAGAAATTTTTCCTAATATCCAATCTAAACCTCCCCTGATACCACTTGAGGCCATTATGTTGCCCACGTACACAGTTCCTACGTACGCTTAATGATTCTACAAGCATATGTTACCCCATCTACTGGCTACACAGAAAATCAATGCAATTATTAACCTATTTCAATGGCATCATCACCCCAAGGGTAGGCTGTGTGCAAGACTACAGGGGTTTTTACCTAGGTAGACAGCTAAAAAATGCATTATTCCATTAAGGTCATACATTGCAAGAAAAGGGGGGAGGACAACAAGAGTCGAAGCTAGCGCCAAACCGAGCGGCCCAACTTCAAGCACACTTCCTTCCCAACTGGCAGAAAGGTAGTTCCTCGCAGAAAGAGACCGGTCCTGTAAATTCGAAAGCCTTCTCCCTCAGACAAGGTGGGATTTGGCTGCATCAAACTGCGGCTCACTTTTTCTTTAACCAAGCTCAGAGCTGGATCCCCCCCTCAGCCGCACAGCTGAGCCCTGCACGTCCCTGCCCGGCCGCGGGACCGGTGCCGGAGCAAGAGCGAGCTCCTTCCCCCCTACGGCCAGGAGCAGGGGGAAGCAGGCACCACCACCCCGGGGCTGCCCTTACCTGAGGTGTGTCGTGCGTTGCCATCTGAGCGCTTTGTTAAGTCAACAGTTCTGTCTATCTGAAACAGCTTCAGATCATCTTCATCTAAAGCGATATCTCCCCAAAAGGCAGCTGGAGAGAAACAAACTGCAATTAGTTTGGTTTTTGTTTTGGAAGGGAGGCACAAGTTCCTGTGTGGCACGAATCGCACCTGAAAGGTGGTACCTCCACGGACCAGAACCAGGGAACACACAGCAGCAGTCCAAACGCACCGACGGAGCGGACAGCCGCGGAGCCCAGGGGCCGGCATTCCCACTAAGCCACTGTGCAGATCCACCAAAAGGAGGTGATTAACTGGGATTCCCGGTGGGACTCGTTGCTATGGGTCAGGCACCAAGGTGGTGGTGCTCCCTCTTCGCTGGAGCCGACCAGAGGGCCAGCCACCGGTGTTTCCCTAGCCGGTGTGCAGGAGCTGAGCCACGGCTCGGCTCCTGGCTGAGATGCTGCATCCCCCCCCCCCCCCGGCC